CTTTCCATGTCTTTTGCCCATTTTGTAATTGGCTTATCAGTTTTTTTCTTGTGGAGGCCCAGGAGTATTCTGTAAACTTTTGTTATGAGACTCTTGTCTGAGATGGTATTGCCAAACATTTGTTCCCAATCAGTAGGTTTTCTTTTCACTCTGTTGAAAAAAGTTTTGCAAACATGGATTTAATCTTTAGGAGGTCTCTCATTCATTAATTTTGTCCTCTTCAAGTTGTGCATTTCTGGCTGCATTTGGCAGTCTCTTTATACCTTGGACTAATGCTTCTAAGCTCGATCCCAGTTTGCCTCTTATGAATCTTATGGGTTTTGGCTTTACTCCCAGATCTCTGATCCACCTTGAGGTGATTTTTGTGTATGATGTGAGATGTGGATCCCGTGTCAGTTTTCTGCAAGTTGAAGACCAGTTTTGCCAGCACTAATTGTTGAAGAGGCTATCATTTCCCCATTTGATAGCTTTGATTTCCTTGTCCAATATCAGTTCACCATAGATAGGTGGGTCTATTTCTGGGCTCTCAAATCTGTTCCATTGGTCTATGTGCCTGTTATTGTACCAGTATCATGCTGTTTTGGATACTACTGCTGTGTAGTAGGTTTTGAGGTCAGGGAGTGCTACGCTCCAACCTCATTTTTGTTTCTCAGATATGTTTTGCTTATTTGGGGTCTCTTGCCTCTCAAAATAAATTTGATACTTTCCCTTTCAATCTTCTTGAAAAATGAATTTGGTATCTGGATTGGAATTGCATTGAACATACAGATTGCTTTTGGTATGACTGCCATTTTCACAATATTGAGTCTTCCTATCCATGAACATGGCAAATTTTCCCATTTCTTTAGGTCTTTTATTGTGTCTTGCAGAAATGCTCTGTAGTTTTCTTTGTATAGGTCTTTTGTATCTCTAGTTAGATTCACTCACAAGTAGCTCAAATTATAGATGGCTATTGTAAATGGTATTGCTTTCTTTAATTCTTTCTGAGTTATCTTTGTTACTGTACAGGAATCCTATTGATTTTTGGATATTGATCTTATCTGCTGCCACTCTACTAAAATGGCCTATTAATTCCAACAGATTTTTTTGTTGAGTTTTTGGGGTTCTTTTTTTGTGTACACTATCATATCATCTGCATGTTGTTGTTGTTGTTGTTATGTGCCATCGAGTCATTTGCGACTCATAGTAACCCTATGTACAAGAGCTCTAAATGCCGTTCTATCCTGTGCCAACCTAGCCATCTCAAATGTACTTATTCCCATCACGCCAAAGAATTGTAAGACAAAGTAGTTAGTTTTGTAGGCTAGAGAAAACTCATGTCAGTTATATAACTATAGTTTTACAACTGAAACATATTTAGAGAATTTTGAATTTATTAATACCACCCCATCATTTCAACAAATAGATTCAGGCCTGGACATGTTTTGGAAGACAGCTATTTGGCCAACTAACCGGGAAAGACCCTATTTGTAAAAAAAAAAAAAAAAAGACCCTATTTGTACTCATTCCCCAAAAAGATGATACAACAGGATGGGGAAATTCTCAAACAATATTATTAATATCACGTGAGAGTAAATCTTAATGATTATTCAAAAGAGACTAGAATAACACATTAATAACTGCCAAAAATTCGCAGTGGATTCATAAGAAGCAGCAGCACGAGAGATACCATAGCTATGTCAGCTAGATTCTGGCTGAAAGCAGAGAATTCTAGAAAGATATTAATCTGTATTTTATGTTGTTGTTGTTATGTGCCATCAAGTCGATTGCGACTCATAGCGACCATATGTACTAGAGCTCTAAACGCTGTTCTATCCTGTGCCAACCTAGCCATCTCAAACACACTTATTCCCACCGCTCCAGTCACAGAATTGATCCATCTCATCGAAGGTCTTCCTCTCCTTCGCCACCCCTCCTCTCTGCCAAACATGATGTCCCTCTCCAAGGACCAGTTCCTCCTTGCAACATGCACAAAGTATATCAGATGAAGCTTCAGAATCCTTGACTCCAAGGAGCATTCCGGCTTCACCCTCTCCAGGACAAATTTGTTTGTTCTCCCAGCAGTCCATGGTATATTCAACACTCTTCTCCAGCACCATAGCTCAAAGGCATCAATTCTCTTTCTATCAACCTTATTCACTGTCCAACTTTCTGATGCATAGCACGTAATTACAAAGACTATAGCCCAGATTAGGCGCACCTTAGTCTCCAGCCTGACTGACGTCATTGCTCTTCAGTACTCTTGAGAGGTCCCTTACAACTGACCTTCCCAATGCAATTCATCTCGTGATTTCCTGGCTACTGTTACCAAGATTGTTGATTGTGGAGCCAAACAAACTAAAACTGTTAATTATCTCAATCTCTTCACCATCCATACTGATGCTGCCAATTGTCCCAGTCATGAGAATCTTTGTTTTCTTGATGTTGAGCTTCAATCCGTATTGAAGGCTGCAGTCCTTAACCTTCTGTAGCAAGTATTTCAGGTCCTCCTCAGTTTCAGCAAGCAGGGTTGTGTCATCTGCATAACGCAGGTTGTTGATGATTCTTTCACCAATCCTGATGCCACATTCCTCTTCGTACAGCCCAGCATCTTGGATGATCTGTTCTGCATAGAGATTGAAATGGTATGGAGACAGAATACATCCCTGACAGACCTCCTTCTTGATTTTGAACCATGTAGTGTCTCCTTGCCCTGTTCTGATGACTGCCTCTTGGTCCAAGTATAGGTTTCACATTAGCACAATCAAATGTTCTGGGATTCCTATTCTTCTCAGAGTCAGCCATAGCTTATTGTGATCCACACAGTCAAAAGCCTTTGCATAGTCAATGAAGCACAGATAGACATTCATCTGTTATTCTTTGCTTTCTGCCAAGATCCATCTAACATTAGCTGTAATATCCCAAGTACCATGACCTCTTCTAAACCCAGCCTGCACATCTGGCAGTCCTCAGTTGACATATTGTTCCAAAACGTTTTTGGATAATTTTTAGCAGAATCTTGCTTACATGTGGTATTAATGATATTGTTTGATAATTTCTGCACTAGTGACAGTTAAAGTGCGTGTTTAAACAGGCTAAATTGTGACTTTGTGGGTTCTCCCCCCCAGCATTGTTTCTTTTTGAAGTCAACATTCTTCCAGTTCTTTTGGCTGTTTGAGGGCTATTTCCAATTCTCTGAGGAATCTCTGGACTCTAATGATCACCTTGGTGGCTAACCTTCTGTTTTAGGTAGTCTATCGGATGACCCTTGCTTCCTGGCAGTTGTGCCTGGTGTCATTCCTCTGCCTTTAGTGTGGTGAGGTCTGTGACTTATTTCAAACGGCAAGGTAATGGACATGATTGATGCATCAGTAAGTGAGTTACATAAACTTGTGACTCATGTCTTGCTAACAGAATTTCACTATTGGAGAATTGCTTTACTGAGTTGTGCTTTGGAATCTGAGATAAGAAACAGGTCTTATGGCAGGCTATAGCTAAGAACTTGGGTCTCTATCATGCCATCTTTCCATATAAAAAGAATTTGTCATAGAAAGAATTTCTCCAAGATCTTATTTTCTGGAAGATTTTTCCACTGCTTGAGAGTATTTGATGTTGTTGTCATTGTTATGTGCTGTTGAGTCACCTGTGACTCATAGGAATCATGTGTACAACAGCCCTAAAACCTGCCCTGTCCTGTGCCAATCTTACTGTCTCTTACACATCTACCCCCATCACTCCAGTAACTGAAACAATCCATCTCTTTGAGGGTCTTCCTCTCTAGCACTGTCCCTCCACCCTCTCAAGCATGATGTCCCTCTCCAAGGGCTGGTTCTGTCTTGCAACATGTCCAAAGTTTGCCAAATGAAGCTTCAGAATCCTTGCCACCAATGATCAGCCTGCCCACACCTTTCCAGGATGACCTTGTTTTTTTCTCCTAGCAGTCCATATTCAATACTCTTCTTGAGCACTGCAGCTCAAAGGCATTGATTCTTCTATCATCCCTAGTCATTGTCCAGCTTTCCAATACATAGCAAGTAATGGCAAACATCATGGCCTGGATTAGGTGCACCTTAGTTTCTAGACTGACATTGTTGATCTTTAGTAGTTTGGAGAGGTCTCTGACAGCTGACTTCCCCAATACAATTCATCTTTTTGTTTCTTGGAGTCTGGTACCAAGAGTGTTGATTGTGGAGCCAAGCAAACTGGTTAACAATCTCTTCATCATCTATCACGATGCTGCCAATTGGCCCAGTGGTGAGAATCTTTGTTGTCTTGATATTGAGCTTCAATCCATATTGAAGGCTGTAGTCCTTGACCTTCTGCAACAAGCTTCAGGTTCTCCTCAGACTCAGTAAGCAAGGTTGTGTCATATGCATAACACTGATTGTTGATGAACCTGTCTCCAATCCTGATTTTGCATTTCTCCTCATCGAGTTAAACCTCCTGGATAATCTGTTCCACATATAGATTATCACATTGGTCCACCTTGAGAGTAAAAAGAACAAGGGCTAATGTAGGGTAAAAGTCATGAGTTGACTGAAAGGATAGATATTAAATGACATGACAAACCACAAAACATCCAGAATGTGTACACAAACAGGATGGAGGGAAAAGGAGGAGAAAAAGAAAGGTGAGGGATCATAAAAAGACTTGATAAGACTTAGGGGACATCTTGAAAAAGATTTTCACCCCATAGTATTGATCCAATAAGGAACCAGAGGAGAAACAAAACCATTTCCATTGATTTCAACTCCCCATGACCTATGAATGGCAGGGTAGAACTGTGTTCCATAAAGTTTTCAAGGAGTGATGTTTGAAAGCAAGTTACCAAATCACTAAATTTTCATTTGTACCACCCAGTAACTCCAAAAAATATAGAAAAAGTAAAAACTCACTGCCATCGACTGCGTCCTTATTGGACCCTTTATTCTAAGGTTGTAAGCCTTAATGGGAGAAGACTGCTGAATCTATTTTAAAATAAAGAGCCATGGCCATCTGCAGCCATCCTGTGCTGTGTTTACCTCATTGGGGTGGAATCCATCAACGGGCTCGATGAGCTGCCATGGTTGTCCACCTCTCTTCTGCCATTCCTCTATTACTGCAGGAGAAAAATCAGAGAGTTTGAGACATGCTCCCCCAGGGAACCACTCATGTCTGAGAAGGAACACTCTGAGAAGGTTTTCTGGGACTGCCTACTGCCCTCTTGGCCTGGCCAATGGCTTTCCAAAACACTGCTACTTGTCAGCCTGGGCTTGCATCTTTCAGAACAAAAACCATCTCTTCATCAATTTCCAATCATGAAGATAGCATGTGAAGAATGTTGTGTGGTTGTGCTGTGTGTCACAGGGACAACAATATTCAACACCAATTTAGCTCCATCTTATTTTTCAGTGTTATCATAGGGTAGTGTTAGTGAACACAAGGGGTTCTTTCCATAGTCATTTGCCAATAAGACAAATTGATTGCAACATACATACATACTTTATTAAAGATCAAGGAGGACAGCGAGTTGGCCTCAAAGACTGCCTTTCCATCTGGGAGTGGTCATTAGGCTTTCATACCAGAGTGAGACACCAACTCACTTAACAAGGCACTTTGGTTAGTAAAGTCAAAGAATTTCTACATTTTAAAAAAACCAAACCAACACACACACAGAGACACCAGTAGACAGGCAACTTATAAACTAGTTAACATATATTGTTGTTAAGTGCCGTCAAGTCATAGGAGATTCATAGCAACCTGATGAACGAAAGACCTGGACACTTATAGCTGAGAAAAAAACAGGTTTTTGAAAAGAGTTAATCCTATAAATTAGTTAACATATGTTGTTTGTTGTTGTATCGAAAGGAATTGGAAGACACAGAAGAATTTTATGAAACAACATATGAGCAAGAGCCTATGGTGATGAAAGAAGAAGTTCAGGCTGCTTTGAAGGACATGGCCAAAAATAAGGCT